ATCTGTCAGCACTATCCTTATCTTAAGGGCAGATGTTTTTATTTTATTTGGCTTATAATTGCTTACTCAATATAGTATTTCATCTCGATGTACTCCGTCTTTGATATGATTTAAATCAAATGCCTCGTCATTATAATTCGCTTCGGATAGCGAAGAAAGTGACAGAGGTTATTGAAAATGAAAAAATTTCGATTGACAAATTAGTCGGTATTCTCGACACAGCAATTATAGGACTTGAACAGCGGAACTTTGTAACTGAACAAGAAATTATGTTTGTTTATAGAATTAAAGAGAATGTATTATCACATAAAAACAAAGCAACTTAAACAACTTACATTGAAAGAAATGTTTTAATAAAGTAAACAAATAAATATTAAGCTTTTTTTTGTAAATTTGATACCCTTTTTAGATCATAATTGTTCTTTATTTCATAAATTACGGTTTCATATTTTTAATTTTATAATTTCTGCATGCTATTTTACCAGATTTAAACTTATGATCTATAATCCGGAATCGCCGAAGTCCCGACGAGTCCGGATTAACGACTTTTGACTGTACCAACTTCAGCCACTTGTAAGCAGACACTGGCTCTGAAGTGACAAAAACAAGCCCCTTCCCCACTTTTATCTTGGAACTATTTTGTGTACTGGAATTCCTTCTTCCTTATCAGCTGAGTTCTAGTGCTGCTGCCTATGTTATGACTAAGAAGCCAAGTTCAACAAAAACCATTTAGAGAATAACAGTTTGGTGAAAGTGCTGATATATTCTGTTTATTATTTGAGAGAGTACAGTAGCAACATATAAGGCTATGTTTTCTGGGGATACTATAGCTTCAAAAAGAAATAATTTATGCTAAGTTGCATTTTCCTAGCTTATATTGCTTTATTTTGCGTAAGTCGTGCACCTCGATTTTTCTGACTAAAATTATCAAAAAAACAAACAAATGTGTACATGGTATTTGTGAACATCCGTGCGTGTGTATATATATAAGGTTTATATCGTAAAAGAGGTGCTGTTTGTTATTGCAATTTTCTATTTTATATGTTAATTGGATACATACAGACATGCATGTATATATGACATTTTAATATATTGCAATGATAAAACTCTGGTTACGCATTTATCCTCTTTTACAAAATTGCTGATTAACGCATACTTTGTAATATGATTTGACAATCATATGCGTAAATAATATGTGAATTTATATATTGGTGTCTTTCTATTCATTTCCTTAGCCAGAGAAAAATTTAGTAGAATTTTGCAATTATTTATTGATTAGATAGTATTTTTGCTTTGAAAACAAAATTACTTAGTTTTTCAACCGACTGATAATTTCATAAAACTTAATCAAAAACATAAGTGGCCACGTAAATGAATAATTATTACAATATTGTTTTAATAAATACATTTATGTGCTAATAAATAATTTATTTGGAAAACTGGAGAATTCAGTCATTCCCTAGTCATAATTAGTATGTGAGGAATCAATGGACTTATGTCGGAATTAAAACCACAGATCTCCCATTTGCCAGCTGGTTGAGATAACTACTCATACCATGCATAGAGGGATGCAATAATTCCCTGAAATTATTAATATATAAGATCAGATGAAGTCATACAAAAATTTCCTTGAAGTAACTTATATATAACAAACTAGTCCCATATAGTTATTAATTTAAATTCATTGCACTTCTTAGATCACACGTGGTTATAAATACATCAAATAATTCCAGATTAATTGCTAATTTTATGTACTGTTTCATTAAGTAATACATAATTGTCTTAATTTCAGGTATTTTGTGTTTTATAGTTTTTTGCAAGGGATTATATTATTTGTCCATATGAATTTCTCATGTTACATGGAAGGGCAGTCCTCTTAAATTTTTACAGCTTACCCTAAAATACAATGCTCAGAATAAGTGCCAAATATAGCAGTACATTTTGCAAACTTTTTGTCACAATTGCTGTAAACGCTGCTTGTTGTGACATGAATTCTGTAATTAAAAATCATTTTAAAAGTATTTTAGAACAAAAAATGCTTACTTAAAAACTATAAATGTTTATGCATTTAAGAAATCCTTCTTTCTGCCTACATTATAGAAACTGGAGCAATCAAGTATACTTCTATGATGTCATTGAGTGTATTGAGAGCAAAATAATGCTATAATTTTAAAATACTGAAATTAAATTTTTTCTTCAAAAGTAAATGTAAGTTTATTTCTCTGTATGTAATTTTTTTAGTTATTTGTTTCTATATCAAGAAGGGCAGTAAATTCAGGGACTGCTCCGAGCGATAGACTAATCTCTAGCTACACCACTGACCTGTTCACAACGAATTGATAGGAAAAAGGCCTCAAATGACTATTCCTAGAAATTTAGCCGTGCACTATAAACTACATCACTTGTCTGTAATATGATTGGTCTAAAGCTGCCTGAGTACTTGTCCCCTCTCAATGAAGTCAAACGGACCCGTCCGCGGTCCATTGACTTCATTGTCCTGAGGACCACAGAATGGTTTTCTCCTTCAAGTTGGAGGTGGTACACGATGCCAGGTTGTTTGAGTCGATATTATATTCACTATAATATACGAGATCCAGTGATCATAGAATAGGCAATCAGTTGTGACATCATTGCAGACTGGCTGTAGGATGCTGTTAGAACAATGGGACATGCACAACAAATCTACTGGCATATTGTCTTCCTTTTACAATGGGTGGCTACAGTTTTTCAGGAGATCGCTGATCTATAGCAGTAAAAGACTCATTTGCCACAAACTGAACTGGGAGGTGCAAATTCCTTTTTGCTGAAAGGGCAATGTACTTAGCTCCTGCAGGCATCCATCAGGCAATAATCCATCAGGCATCCTGCAGGCAATAATTTTGCTTGCTAATTGCAAAAAATTGCTCGCTACTTAGTGAGAGTTTAAGATGTGTTATCATGAATTACGACATGTTTAATGCTAATTTATTTAATAAAAATCTTAAGGCAGATCTCAATGTAACTTACATTATATATTTATCATTTTCAAATGGTTCTGCAAGTTCTGTAATATAATAAAACTGAATTTAATAAATTAATGAAACGTATATTAAAGAATAGTCAAACTATTCATAAGTTATTTCACATATACCAAGTGTTTTTTGTCTTTAAAAGTATAGAATGAAAATAAATTAATTATTTCCTAATCACTTTACAATTATCTGCATAAGAACTGCCAATTTTAAAATGACATTTTAGATTAAATTTCTGAAGATGTTGGGTCATCCGAAAAGTTTCGGAATTTTTCAGATCGCATTTCATTTTCTTGTAATTATTTATTATTACTGATGAGGAATGACCTTGATCGAAACAGATTTTCTTGTTCACTTTGTGTAATTTTAGCATATCTTGTGATGTAATCCCCCCCCCATGCTGGGCTAAGAATGGAGAATTTAAACTTCATTTTCATGATGTTATGGTTTTTTATTTTAAAAAAGGAAAATATGCAAGTCAGATTGCCATAAAATTCATTCTTTACATGGGCAAAGTGCTGTTTCTGATTTGTGCAGTTTTAAGCATGAAAATTTTATGATGGAAAGATGGTGCTTTGGACGATTATCCTTTGTAAACAAGGATCTATTAAAAGAAGCTATTGCTTAAGATCTACATTATGCAGTTCAAGAGCTATCAAAGAGGTTTAATAAAATAAAGAAGTATATAATAATTTGAAGAAGACTGGATATGTAAGCTTCCATGATGTATGAGTACAATATACTTTAAAAGAGCAGAATGTGCTTGCTCGAGTTTCGGAATGTGATTTTTTACTGGGGGGGGGGAACCTTCCTTTTTTCAAATGACTCATTACTAGAGAAATGGGTACTATACAATAAAATTCAAATCATGGGGTAAGCCAAAAGAACCTCCTTTAGGGGCTGCATCCCCAAAAATAATGATTTGTGCATGGTGTATTACAAAGGAATTGTACACTTTTATTTGTTGCTATCAAATTGGACAATATATTTGGAAAAATACTGTTTCCTAATGGCAGTTTTAAAAGCGGAAATTGAAGCAAAGGCCTCAGAGCTTGGAAATATTGTCATTCATTATGATAATGCTTGGTCTTGCAGTTTGATGAATATTGGGCAAAGACTGTTCACTTATGTCTGGGATGATTTGTGTCACTGCCCATATTCATCTCCCTGAGATTTTCAGGTCACTTCAGAATTCTCAATGGTCTAGAACAGTGGTTCTCAACCTTTTGAAAGCATTTTGACCATCTAAACAAAAATTGAAAACCTTTAGTACCACCACTACAAAGTACTACCACCACCACCACTCTTGAACAAAGCTCAGATTGCATAAATTTATGAGTGTTAGAGAAAATACTCAATCAGGATGTTGGTGTTTTTATTTTTGAATTTAATAGTTAAAAATACTTTATTTCTTTGCATACCACCTATTTTTCTCTTGCGTACCATCGGTTGAGAACCTCTGGTCTAGAGTTCATATCTTCAGTGACTGTCAAACAACAGCTTTATAATTTATTTATGAATAAACCTAACAACTTTCTAAAAAAGGAATTTTTCCAGCTGCTGAAAAGATGGTAAAAGGTCATAGAACAAAACAATGCTAGTGTAATTCAATAAAATTTTGTGTGTTTGTACTGCTTTATTTAAATTTATCATCAAAAACGTACAGAACTTTCTGCATATTCCAATATTCATTTATGAGGAGTTTAAAAAGTTCTACATTTTATGGTTTTTGAAATAATTAATCAAAAGTTTATTGCTTCAGAGAAATGACAATTGTAAATTAATATATATCGAAAGTTATAATTAATTTAAGATTTAGATGTATATTTAAAAAAAATTTTGAACTAAATTTGTGGGAAAAACATGTTAAGATGCTGTTTACCACATGTATAATGAATGCATGTGCATTATTATTGTATATGATCTAGTTAAATATTTAAGGTTGAAAATAATTAGATTCATTTTAGCATTAAAAATCTCAAATATTAGATTTGCAGAGTCATCGGACTATTTCTCAGTCATTTCGTAATGCACCAAGACGAAAGTCTAGTGATGATTTATTATCCACATCTGAAGGAGAAGGCCGTAGTGCTCATCTTCAGCATTCAAGGAGCTCCTCTGTAAAGAATCTTCATCGAAGTGGACAGAGGCCTATCAGCTGGTCAACACCTGCTTCCCCTTATTATCAAGGGTCTCGTAATTTATTTGTTCGTATTACTTCACCTGTTGTATGTGCCAAATTGCAAACATTTCCAAAAGCCAAAATGAGATTACCACCAAAGGTAATTTTTTAAAATTACATCAAATCTTATTATGATTCTGAAAATATTCATAACTATGTTATAAATTATCAGCACCTTGAGACTTGGCTAAAATCTATGCAAAACACAAGATTGTTACTTTGCTAATTTTATATCAAAACATATTTATTAATCATTTAATGACAGCATGCTGCTGAACTGAAAACCCTTTGGAGACAGTTGTATCATATATGCTTCAGATGTAAATGTGAACAGCAGCCAGGTGATTCAGTAGTGTATTGCCACTTGCATTGATCTACCAGATGGGTGTGTCATATATCCATTTTCAAATATGTATGCTCTTGTAGAATTTTTTTAAATCAGTAGATGGACTTTGTGTCAGCTACAGTTAGTTTATGTAATCGTATGTGTTGTTAACCTTGTGTGTGTGAAGTACTTTCTGATTCTGGTGATTCGTTCAAGTGTAAGAATGGGATATAAAGTAAACAAAACACAGCTGATGTGCAGCAGTGGCTTCATCTGATATAAACAATGAGCAATTTCTGATGTTTGAATTTTTTTTTTTTGGTTGTTTTGTTTTTTTCCCTATATGGAAATTGGGAGTAGATTATGGTTTTAGTAATTTCCATATGTATTCAGTTTGCATCTTCAGTAGATAGTAGACTTAATTTTTTTGTACTCATTAAAACTAAGGTTGTGATGTATAAGAGAAAGAAGGTTTTAACAAAAGAAGCGTATACTCGAATTGTAAATGAGCACATGTGTGACTAGTCTTAACAGTGAAGTCGTCTAGATTTAAGTCAAATTAGCCGTTTGGGTACCGAAATTTTGTCAGACTGAATTGCAAGCCTACTTTCTTTCAGTTCAGTCACAGATGCTGTATGCCTTTACAGGGATTGTAGGAATAAAATTAATTACAGTAAAAAATTTTTAATTCGGACTCATCGGGACTTCAGCAATTACGGATTATCGGTTTTTCCGGATTATAGATCATCAATTTAAATCTGATAAGATGGCATGCAGAAATTATAAAATTAAAAATATGAAACCATAATTTATGAAATAAAGAGCAATTATGATCTAAAGGATATCAAAATTTACAAAAAAAAGCTTAATATTTATTTGTTAGTTTATTAAACATTTCTTTCAACATGCGCATGCGTAAAGCATACATTACTCATAGACGAAATTGAAAAATTGCAACCAGAACGCTATTTGATGTGTATTCGTGATATTTATAATGATGAGGAATTTGATTTAAATCATATCAAAGACGGAGTACATCGAGATAAAATGCTACATTTAGTAAGGAACTCTAAGCCGAATAAAATAAAAACATCTGCCCTGAAGATAAGGATAGTGCTGACAGATCAACTTCCAGTTCATTGCGAGCTGTGACACGCCCCCCCCCCCCCGCAGAGCAAAATGAAATTTATAAACAGATTTCGGAATGGTTAGAGAAACAAAGCATATGCCTTTATCCGTTTTTTGCAGCAATTCCACTTTTTGTTTGAAGGACATCGAAACATGCTTTTGCTTTGTAGATCCTTTGGCAGCTTCAGAATCGGAAATTTTTTTTTGACATAATCGAAAGTTCGAGCTTATTTTGATAAAATTGCTCTAACAGTCTGCAAAAAATAACAAGCAGGATCCAATTAGAACATTAAGGAGCAATGCATTCTGCAACATTAACTGAAATAGATAATTAGATAATTTTAGCTTAGTTTATACCGTCCATTATAGATTAAACGTGCATGCGTAAACATATTACATGCATGCATAAACGCGTATGCACATGCGTACAGGTATTATGCACATGCATTAATGCATAATGCGTTTACGCATGTGCAAAAATTTTGTAGCTTTGAGGTCCGGATTATAGATCATTCCGGATTAAAGACTTTTGACTGTACGAGTTATGTGAATAAAATTGATTTTTTCTATATTTTTTAAATGATGACCTAATGAACATAATAGTCAAAGAAACCAAAAAGTTTTATGAACAAAAGATAATTGAAAAATCTGTTTTCTCCAAAATCAGCAAAGTTTACTCCTGTAGATATGCCTAAAATAATGAAGTGATTCATAGGATAATTAATCTAATGGAAATATTTAAAAAGGCTTGAGCGGCATTGTGTCTTTCCTGAATCATGTATGCTGTAATTTTATATTTGATCATACATTGTATTTTTTCATATACGTTTAGATATAGATTTAGGTAAGTTTTGTACAACGTTTATTCAAGAGGAGTTAAATAATTTATTTTGCATTTGGATTTTAATTAAAAGTTTTTCAGAATGTTTGGATATTCTGTGTTTGATTATATTATTGTTAGTTATGATTACAGAAAAAATCAAAGCAATTAATTGATAAAAAGTATTTTTAATGAATTTTTTTTAAAGCTATGTTTTGTGATGCAGAACACTGTGTCCTGTGAGATAGTACTGTTGCAACAGCATAGCATCTCCAAAGTGAGCTGTCCTAAGCAGCATGCCATTGCACAAGAGGATTAATTATTGATGCATATATGATAAACCTATTTTGAAGGGGTTTAGCATATGATACAGAAACTATAAAATTACACATTCTGTGAAATTTAATGTAATATTTTCTTGAATTACCAAATATTCTGCTAAGCTTCACTAGGAAAAGCATTATTTTACTTATCAGTATCGTGCAAGATTAAATATTTTGGTATTTTCTGATTATCCATACTCCCCACTAAAGAATTTCGAAAAAGCATTTGTGAGACAGCATAATATGTCACTGAGAACCTACAGTGTAAAAAAGTATTTGTTGCAAACCAGGAATGCACATAGCACCTGTATATTTAAATATACATTGATTTGTTCTTCTGAAAATTAACTATTGTTTTTTTATTAGTGTTTCTTTTGAATTCAATATATTTGTTTTTCTTGTAATGAATCATATTAGGACTATAGAATTTGTTGACTGATGGAAAAGAAAGCCTTGCATTTCTGCATAAATATGCCATTTTGTCCAACAATAGAAAAATTTGTATTCTATGTATGGTACTTCTTAAACAACCAAACTTTATGGAAGTGCAATATGAAAAATTGCCAGCAAAATCTTAAAGTGCAGGACAAAAATCAAATTTGAAGGTAGCCGTATCTCATTTACTACAGCTGTTAACTTTATTTATTGATAAGTGCACAGCATCAAATTATGTATAATGTCAAACTTATGCAATTCTCTGATTTTTTTTTTTTTTTTTTCAAAAGTAAATTGTTATACAGTCAAAAGTCTTTAATCCAGACGTCCATAATCCGGACTTCAAAGCTACAAACTTTCTGCGCATGCGTCAACGCATAATGCATTAACACATGCGCATAATATGTTTACGCATGTGCGTTTAATGTATAACAGATGGTATAAGCTAAGCTAAAATTATCTAATTATATATTTCAGTAAATGTTGCAGATTGCGTTGTTCCATTATCTTCTAATTAGATCCGGCGTACTATTTTTTGCTGACTGTTAGAGCAATTTTATAAAAGTAGGCTTGAACTTTTGATTATGCCAAAAAAGAATTTCCGGTTCTGGAGCTACCAAAGGATCTACAAAGCAAAAGCATGTTTCGATGTCCATCAAAGAAAAAGTGGAATTGCTGCAAAAAATGGATAAAGGCATATCTTTTGATTCTCTAACCATTCCGAAATATGCTTATCAATTTCACGCTGCTCTGCGGGGGGGGGGGAACGTCGCAGCACGCACAATGAACTGGAAGTTGATCTGTCAGCGCTATCCTTATCTTCAGGGCAGATGTTTTTTATTTTATTCGGCTTATAATTCCCTTACTAAAATGTAGTATTTCATCTCGATGTACGCCGGTCTTTTGTATGATTTAAATCAAATTCCTCATCATTATAAATTCATGAATACCCATCAAATAGTTTTCTGGTTCAATTTTCTAATTTTGACTATGCGTAATGTAAGCTTTAACGCATGCACGCGTTGAAAGAATGTTTACTAAAGTAACCAAATAAATATTAAACTTTTTTTTGTAAATTTTGATACCCTTTAGCTCATAATTGCTCTTTATTCATAATTATTTTTATTTTTTAATTTTATAATTTCTGCATGCCATCTACCAGATTTAAACTGATGACTATATCAGAAAACCGATAACCGGAATCAACCGAATCCCAACGAGTCTGGATTAAAGACTTTTGACTGTATATATATATTGACCTGCATATCACCTCCACTGCAATAACAATAATAATAAAATAATTTATTTGTAAAATAAATAAATAAGTTATACATATAGTGTCTCTCATTTTGAACTTCAAAATTTGGTCACCTTAGCATAAACAACTAATCTGCAATAAGGGATATTATAAAATCGTTTATAAAATATGCAGAGTAAACTAATACTTCGATAATTTGAGCATTCCAAGATATCCATCTTTTTATGAACAATACAGATACTAAGTCTTCTGGTTCAGCATTCTTAATGAATTCAGATTATATTGAATCAGGGCCTGAAAGTTTTTAGTTTTTCAGTTTATGTATAGCTACATTCATTTCCATCAAAGATGGTGGAATGATATCTTCCTTGCTGCCATTGCTATAGTGAAACTCTTCATGACTTGAGTTATCATTATTGAGTAATATTGAGAAATATTCATTCCACTGATTGAGATCCTTTTTTTTATGGCAGGTACTTGCCTGTTCGACAATGGCCGTTTTATTGTAGAGGCATCTAATAGGCAGCCACTGTTGCCTCCTATGAAGGGACGGTTAGCTAAAAACCATGCCTGCTCTGGAATTTGAACCCAGGGCCTTTGGTATCGCAGTCGACTTCCCTAATAACTGTATTGCCTGGGCAGCCTATTAAGTAGCTCATTCCTATCATTTAAAATTAATCTCTCTTTATTTGCACATGCTGTTATATGTGGTTTGAAATGTTGACACCCAAGATTGTTTTCATGAAAGAAAGCTCCACTCTCATTAGAACCCCTAATATGTTCCGCAATTTTAATTAAGTCTTTGTGATAA